GTCCCATACAGACACCTGTTCCAGATAAAGGCAGGGTGAGTTCAGTAATTTAAGCAAATAAAAGCCTGGGCTATTAATTGACGTTTTAAGGTATATATACACATCGGGATTATCTGACGATATTTAGCACATATACCTTTTAACGTTTCATGTGGTTGTATACCACTAGATAAGGAAAAACAAACATGTAATCCGATCAAACGACTCCCAGTCCTTTTAGGAACATGCAATATAATGTTCAGCAAACATTTTCCCAGACTTTGATGGCACTGTTTCAAAGTGTGAGACCGGCAGTCTCCACTTCAGAGAACGGTGCCTGTCCCTGTACTTTGGGACCCCTCTCATTGCTCCACAGTCATTACACAGCGTGGAAACATGTTTTGTTTACAGCGAGTAATTAAGGCCTTGGCTACATTCAAGGCAGCCTATGATTTTGTAACATGGTATATAAGACGGAGAAAGCGAGTGTGAGCAGCACAGTGAGAAACTCCTGACACTGGCTCTTAGAGACCAGCTAAAATGTGAGCATTGGGACTTGCCTTCAAAGGAATGTTGGCTACAGAGACGCCTGTGTGTTAAATAGCAGGTAACCCCGATGAAGTGGGGCTCAACCTTGCACTTAACTGCATGAGAGGTTCAAAGCTGTGATTACAGAATGAGAGCGAGAGAGATGAAGAGGAAAGAGGAGATCAGGGACCAAGCTCTCATCCTGTTTGATACTGTTTGGAGGGGGAGTTAAATGAAGGATCATGTCCTCTCAGATAAATTCTTTTGGTCGCATGAGTCAGGGAGACAACATAAAACCATTAATTAATGCTTTGCCCTACCCAGCACTTAATCAACAAAGCATGACATCCCTGCAGGTGAAGGTGGGAGTGTTTGTCTAAGCACAGAGTCAGAGGGTTTGACTTCAGAGAGGGAAGAGGGGACAGACTACAAATGAGGTGTATTACTCACCTCCTCTCGTATCCCATGCACCATGACTGTCCCACACAGCCTTGCTTCCACACTTTGACCATGCGTGTGAAGGCCTGCACACACGGCTGCCTCTGGGCGACCAGCGTCACCTCCCTCTCCACACACACATTGGGCCTGGAATGAAAACAGTGGTAAAAATACTTAAGGTGTCAAAATGTTCTGCAGCGCTTTTACACATGGCAGCGGGGCAATTTATGAGCGCTTTAAGAAATGTTGCAGCAAAGATAGACAAAGCTTGCAAAAGACTTTTTCTAGTTGTCAATGACATAATGCCTGTGAGGGCATTACCTGTGCAGAGGGATAAGGCTGCTTATGAGGTCTGTATTATTGTGTTTTTAAAGACTTAAGAGGAATTCCTCATACATCAGCTTTCAGAATGCTGAGCTACAAACCACAAGAAGCTACCCATAGCTCAAGAAATTCAGAATTAGTCTGTTACCTGAAAGTCTTTTTTGAGGGTGGGATGGACATGAAAGTGGTGAGGATTTTTGTGTTTCATTTTATATCTTCCACTCCAAATGTAAAAGGCAAAAATCATTACCAGACAAGATCAAACTGTTTTAGATGTGAGCCAAGTTTGCTGGGAAACAAAAGCATATGATGCACAATCTCTGTAACGGGTTACCATTCACTGTACAACATTTTCAAATTAAATGAATAAAACATTCCATGGTTTTCCAGTCAATTCTCATGTAACATCTGTAGTGCTTTCACTGGACATAGGGCTTATGCATACATGTTTTCACTTGTACGCGTGAGACTGAACGTCAGCAGAAACAGGAGACAGATACATTTTCACCCCTCAGGTAAAATACAGCTGCCTTCAACAGCAATGTTTTGTCCATCTTACACAAAGTGTGTCTGGGTTAACAGACAGTCCTGCCACCGTGGTCTTCACAAGTGCAACATGATCTTTGAAACATTTACTCCTTTGGTAACTCTCCAAGGACAGACAGGAAGGCTCGGCATATGGAGATCAGCAGGAATCTTAGTACAACATCCAGCTGCCCATCTCATAAACAATAGTAATCACTATCACCTCCAGCTGTACACATAATTGCATATGAAATACCTTATTGTTAGTGGTAGGTAACAGCAGAGAATCTTCTCTCACATAATTCAAGCTCCTTATCATTTTGTTTCTTTTGGGGGGGGGGGCTCATAATTGTCTGTCGCTTCACTTTGATGGGTTTAAACAAACAGCCTCTGACAGAGTTAGGAATGCAGCACAGAGTGTCCACATGCAGCTAATATATAATCATGTAAATTACAGTGATACTAATCATGGAAGGCAATAAAGACCATGATAAAAGCACACAATGGTAAAATGAATCTTCCAGCAGCATCATAGAAACAGATCTGCCATCCAGCTGCTGTTCTCTGAATCAAGAGCAGAAAAAACTTCACAAGCCTCTTTTTTTCTGCCTCTGGTTGAGTCTTTGACACAATGTTATGCATGTGCAGGTGAACCGGACGTTTTCTCATGCTCAAAAACGTCAAAAGGAAATCTGAGGCTGTGAAAACATCTTATGGATGATGCACAGTAAAAGTAAATAACCCCTTAAGATCCATGTACTAGGAAAATATAAGTTAAATTGTTACTCACATATAGGGCTGGAGATTGTTGGCGATGCCATAAGGCACTGCATGAGTCCCTTTAATAAATATTAGGAAAAATGACAAAACAACACTGTCCATGTTTCTTCTTTTTGGATTAGGGTTTTAAAAAATGTGAATTACTCGTAAACTCAGTCATGAGTATGACTCTGTTAAACATTCAAACAAATAACCTAATAAATAAGCAAATAAAAAAACCAAGCGGCCAACGAGTAGAAACTTAAACGGAGCGTAAAGGACCTTCGGCGTGAAAAAACTTCCCAGCCATCACACGCGGTGTATTCTGTGTGTGTGTGTGCGTGTGTGTGTGTCTCTCTCTCTCTCTGCTGGTGTGTGACAGCGCTTCTTCGCTGCAGATGTTGGACTGACGGGCAAAAACTTTCGAAGGCTGCGCGCTTTCTGCCTCCCTCCATTGACTTGGTAATGAGGTTTGGGTTCGGGAGGGGGGCTGGAAAGGGTGTCATTTATTATTCAGAGCTTTAGAAATATACACAAGACACAATGCAGTCGGCAAAGTGCACTCACAAACGGAAAACAAAGGTTTCCTCGGGTTACTAAAATGTTTCCAATGAAAGACGCGTGCTCATATGTGCGCTACATAAGGTATTGTATTATTTGCTGATATTTACATAAAAACATGTGTATTAGTGTATTCGCCGACATTCAATCTCCAGCGACATGGCGTTTATTTAGTTCCAAGAGCGCGAGTGAAAACAAAGCGCGCGGTGATGGGAAATAAGAGCACGGGGCCGTGACGCAAAGCACAGAAGCATCTGCACGAGGGAACATGCAAACTCCTCATAGAAGGCATGGATAGGCCTGGACAATAAAACAATAACAATAATTATCGCAATATAATTTTTCTCAATCACACACGAATTAGGACTTAATTTTTCTTATTAAGACGTTTATTCTGTTGAGGAAAAAGGACTGAAAAAGGTATTTGTTGACAAAGATTTTATCATAAATATTTTGAATGTTCTGTCTCAGATTTGTGATGTGATCCACTGTTTGGCATCAAGCGTTGACCATAAAGAAAAGTTTAAACCATAACTAACCATCAAGTTTCTTCAACTTTCACTCAGGAGCAAAAATCAGCCTTTAAATTTGAAAGAAAAAACTATTTGATACTTATTGTGATAATTATCGATATCGAAAGATATGAAACTTTTTATTGTGATAACATTTTTGGCCATATCGTCCAGCCCTAGGCATGGACATCTAGGGAAATTGAGTGATATACTATCACTGGTAGGGAGTGAAGAGGCTAGTGGTCACTCTGCAGGGCAAACAGCTGATGTGCGGTCAAAGGGTCAGCCGCCAGGACTGACTACTCATGCTCTCCAAACAAAGCCTTTATTGCATACATGTGTGTTCGCGACCCTGCAGAGTCCCGGGTCAACGCTGTCCGCGCAACCTCCGAGGGTACCAGCTATTAAGCATGTTATAATTAGATCAGGGGCTTTCAGACATATCGGAGTCCATCGGAGATATGCGTGGGGACAGCAGACAAGACATTCTCAAAAACTGCAACAACAGGAGTGATTCTTGAGGTAATCAAATACGTTGGTTTGTGTTTCTTTCTCGGCACAAAAACACATGTCCGGATTAACATGTTTGGAAGCCCAGGGGCAAAAATCTGCTGTAGGCCCATCTTGCATTGTGTTGCTGTCTCCTAGTACCCATCATGTACCATGCACATAGCAGAATACACATGGCAGCTTCATTTTGTACCCAGAGACCAACCAGTGCTACGAAAATTTGCTTTAGAGCAAATGATCCCCTTCCCAAATAATGTTAAACACAATTCTGAAATAATTTAAACTAAGGTCATAAAACTCGATTTTGAGACATGGCCCTTCTACAAGACAGGGTCTCAAAGTTACCTATTAAGGCCAAGTAGGTTTCCACACATGAGGAATCTTGAGGCCCCAGAGGCTAGTTTTAAAACATTTAATATTTCAGTCAATACATGGTATATTCTTCAACAAATGTGTGTTTTATCAAACTAACTTACAGTATATTATTCAAGCGCAGAAACACTAGTTGGTTTCTTAAACTCTGGGGTGCTTAATAGGGGCCCACAGTTCATATGATTGGCTTTTAGTTAATCTATAGACTGATCTGGAATGCACGTTGCAGGATGCAGGAGAAACCCCATGAACATCTTCTGTAAATTGGTGATTTGCTGACACCTTGTGGTTAGATGTATGAACTACGCTGCATCTAGTGCTTTACAAATGATGCAACGATGAGACTAGAATAAATATTAAACCCATTAAACACAGCAAACCCCAAATTTATAAACAACAGGAAGTGGTCACAGCAAACGAACTTTGTACTGTCTCAAGCCAAATATCTTTTCTGTAAAATTATAATTTTCGTTTTAAACCGGCTAAGGAAGTTTACGACGCTCCCTTACCACTTCCAACACGACCTTTGCCCTAGCATGCAGTGGATAATAACAGGAAGACTGTGCCCACTCCGACAGAGTCACATTATCCAAGACGTGCTTACACATTTACCGAGGTTTGTGTCTCGTCGAAGTATGTCTTCGTCTCAAGCTAAACGACCGGTTTCCTTACTGGGAACTATGGCGTTCGGTGGGCGAGCCGACGCCGACCAGAGCCTGGAGATGGTGAAGACTTTCCTGGGCAGGGGACACAGTAAGGTGGACACAGCCTTCATGTACATGGACGGGAAGTCAGAGACGATCATAGGAGGCATGAATCTTCCCAAAACAGGTATAACAGAATCACATGTACTAACGTTAACCAAGTTGTCCCTCGTTAGACAGCGTAGCTGCTGGTTAGCGCCAGCTTGGAATTATGGGTACTCAAAAAATTAACTTTTCCCCACGGCTAACCAACGTTAACCAGCACCGTGTTTACCTTTTCACTCATAAAACGTTTTAGTTTTGGGCAATATTTATTTTGCATATTTATTTATTTAATTTGTTGATACAATAATAAACATAAATGTTACCCTTTGATATGTACCAGAGTATGCTTGGAAGCTTTCATCTGCAGTCCCCAATTGCCATGTCAATATTAAACATAACGTTACACAGAATCACAGAAAAGAGCACAACAAAAAGGCAAGAACATTTGTTTACAAATTAAAACCATTAAAATGTGGATTCGGTGGTTATGGAGTTGGGTAGGAGAGACTAGCAGAGGAACCAGTTTTTGCAATCTCTTTGCAATTTAGTATTGCACTTCTATAAAGTAGTCCATGGTGAAAAACACATCAGCAGAGGCCAGTATATCCGTGCCTTTAGTTCCTAGTATGGTTTAGGCTCAATGCATCAGTCATGCAGTATCCAGGTTCAATAGGGCACCAACAGCTGTTGGTTGATATGTAAGTGTTTGTGTGGCTTGTCAAGTTAAGTGTTTTCGTTGCCTCTACTGTAACTAATAGCTAAATCTGGTACAAGGTATTTCTTCTCTTTGAGATTAATGTTTTTGCAGGGTGGCTGACAAATAGATTAAAAAAGGATTGCTGTCCACTGTGTCTGGCATTGGGAAACACCCATAGCACCTGTCTTCAGCAGTTCAGAGCTGTTTTAAATCAGGGGATCTAGCAAACCAGAACGGTGCAGTTCTTTGGGAGATACTTTCAGATATTGACGTGGACACTGACAATAGGCAGCTGTTGGCCCAATGTTATACCCTGCCTGCCAATACAGTAGTTACATTAAGTGATGTACTGGATGGGATATTGATGGACATGATGATGATTATAAATCTGGAAATTTGTCTACATGCATTGTTTCTGTGTGACAGTAAGCATAGCTACCAAGGCCAACCCCTGGGATGGGAAGACGTTGAAGCCAGAGAGTGTGCGCTCTCAGTTGGAAACCTCCCTTCAGAGGTTGCGGACCGATTGTGTGGACCTCTTCTACCTCCATGCCCCTGACCACGAAAACCCCATCCAGGATACCCTTAGGGCTTGCAATGAACTCCACAAAGAGGTAACGAAACCAGAGACACCAAAAGATAACTAGGCTAGATATTTGTCCCCGATGTATAAATTATCAAAACAATTGATGAGACTGTACCTTTCAAGTTGAGATACTATCTACTTACGGGACAGTATTTTATTAAACTGATTTAATGTTAAAATATTGCTTTCAGGGAAAGTTCAAGGAGTTTGGCCTGTCAAACTATGCATCGTGGGAAGTGGCTGAGATTGTGTGCATCTGCAGACACAACAACTGGATTATTCCCACTGTATATCAGGTATCCTGGCACTTTTTAAAACATTATCTTACAGTTCAGTCCAATCAGTTGCCTCATTTTAGAGTAAATCAGCCGCTCAGTATATGTCCATGATGGACCCCCCCATATGAGTGGCTATGTGTTAGAAAGCCCATTCTTTTCATGTGGGTATGCCCATAGCTTGGCTAGAACTTCCTGTTTTCAGAGTGGGCTGACTTCTCACTTTTATGCAACTGCTTATTCAGGACCTCAGTAGTTTTCATTAAGAAAAGAAACTACGGTTAAGCATCCTTCATAGTCTAGAGAAACTCAATGTGGCCCCAGTGCCTCTTCCAACTCACTGTAATGTTTGCTTAGGTGTTCTTGGCCCCCATGTTATGTGGGTTTGTTTGCTTACCTTGCTTTTTCTTGAATTTGACATCTTGACTATTATTTACACCCTAATTTTGACTCTTACAACCATTCACAGGGAATGTACAATGCCACTACAAGACAGGTTGAGACTGAGTTGCTGCCATGTCTGAGAAACTACGGAATGAGATTCTACGCATACAATCCTCTAGCAGGTGCTGTATATCTTCCTTTTGTGGTGCAACTTGCAGACGCCATTTGCATTTGTTTCATTCAACAGGAGATACTCACACCTGGTGATAGCTGTGTCACATACTGTGGAGGAGTAATGTTAATCATGTGACCTGAACGCTATGACATCTCTTGTGACATCAGTCCGTCAGTCTACCACTTATCTCTCTCCAGTATCTCTATAATTATTGGACTGACGGCCATGAAATTTATGAATAGGATGATTTTTAATAACTATTTGAAACCACCAACCTTTCCTCTATTTAGCACCCCCAGAAGGTAAAAGTTTTCACTCATCTTGTGAAATATCTCAATACTTACCAGATGGCTTAATACAAAATTAAACATTTATGGTGCCGCGATGATGAATCCTAATGAATTTGGTGATCCCCTGACTTTGACTCTAGTGCAACCTTGAGGTTGACATTTGTGGTTTTGACTGAAATGTCTCAACTGTTGGATGGATTGCAATATAAGTTGGGACATCCATGTCCACATCAGGATGACCTGTAATCTCTTTAGTTTTCCTTTAACTTTTTGTCTAGTGTCATCATCAAGTCAAATCACTTTTTTTTGGGCTATATACTTGAAAAGCATTCCCATCAGCCTCAACTGTACTTTAGTCTTAGTGCTAATTAGCAAATGTTTAGCATTCTAACATGCCAGACTAATGGTGAACATGGTAAATATTATACCTGCTTAGCATCCACGTCTTAGCACACTGACATTAGCATTTAGTGTAGGTCAAAGCACCACTGTGCCTACATAAAGCCTCACAGAGCTGTTAACATGGCTGTAGACTCTTGTTTTGACGTTAATTACGACTTTTTCTGAAAATGTAGCGTTGAAAAATATAATTTTGAGTGAATGACAGTATTGAGTACATAAATAGTAGAACCTTTTAGATAATCTTGAATTCTGCCATTTCTCCTCTGCAGGTGGCCTTCTGACAGGAAAGTACCATTACCAGGACAAAGATGGCTCCCAGCCTGCAGGAAGATTCTTTGGCAACAGCTGGTCTGCAGCATACCAGGACAGGTGAAGCCCAGCCATTTGCTTCTGTAAATTTAAATACAAAAAGCAACTCCATTTGTTTTATGTTGCTGCTAGGTAGGTAATTCTGCAGGTCTGAACTGTTTAACACTGATCAAAACATAGCTGTGACTTTCCTCCTGCATATCTGTCAGATACTGGAAGCAGAGTCATTTCCAGGCTATAAATGTGGTTCTGAAGGCCATGGAGGGCGCACACGGCTCGGAGAAACCCACCCTGACTTCTGCTGCTATGCGATGGATGTACCACCACTCCCAACTTAAGGTACCGACTGTGCATGGATCGCTGTAGTGACAGGAGATTATGTTTTGTCATTGTAGGGAGAATACAATATACGTGAAATTAAAAATCAAAATTTGGGGAAAATGTAGGTATCTTACTCTGCACAATATTTTATACTTCTTGTATTTACTGAACAAATATTTGTCCTACCCTGGCAACCTATTCAGACTGATGAACCGCAATAGAAAACCTGAGGTCATGTGAGCTAAAAGGGGCTATCAACTAATTGGATCCATCATGCAGAATTTAGTCTTTCAAGATTTTAAACACATTTTTGTCAGGATTGTGAAAACAAATCAGAGGTTCACTATATGACATTACTAAATACATAGAATATGATACAGCATTTACTGAGAACTAAGCCTGCAACTAACTTTTATAATGGTATCAAAAACCTCTTTTACTGTCTGGTTGTGCCTGGACAGATGTTATATTTAACCTCAACGACATAAAGGCTGTATTGGTGCCTAAAGTAGCTGGAAAATGTATCACCACGTAACAACTTTATATGAAAGCCACTCCTTATTAAAACCATGTTTTGGTTTGACCACTACTTGTCTGCTTTTCCAGGGTGATCTTGGCGATGGAGTCATCATTGGCATGTCAAGTATGGAGCAACTTCAGCAAAACTTGGCTGCTGCAGAGGAGGGTCCTCTGGATGAGCGAGTGGTTGCCGCTTTCAATGAGGCCTGGAATCTCGTAGCCCACGAGTGTCCAAAATACTTCCGCTAAAGAGCCAAAATCCAACAACCCAATATCATCCATGTTTATACAGAAAATAGATGAGAAAGCACTTTTCCTTAGCTACTTACTTGTTTCCTGAAATGTTTGAAATGATTTTTTTTTTGTTATGAATGAATTGAAGACCAGTATGTATTAATCAGTAAGAGCACTTCATTAATTTATAAAAAATGAAGATTTTTTTCAGGGAAAAAAACTTTTTTATGGAATCTGCCTTAATTAAACTGTTACATTAAAAAGAAAAGTAATTTTCCCAAGTCAACATGTTTTTCTGCACATAAAATGCATGCAAATGAGTTGGTTTAACTCTGGAATCTGCTCATTTGTTTTGGCTAAATTGCAAAATATGTGCATGCAATACAAAACTCATTATGTTGACAAAACAAGTGGCATCAACATGATTACATGTGAGACATCAGTAAGTCTTCAGACTCCAGTGTTCACTGAACAACTATTCAGTCTGAAGCTAAAATTGAAGGTGAGGGGACATACATTTTTGTTTTGGGGGTGAAAAAAGAGAGAGATTACAGACTCCAGGGCAGTCAGGATGAATGGTTTGAACATCAATGTCCCTCTGCTGTTAAACGTGGGCAAAAATGACTTAAACAATGTGTAGAAGCTCCTGCAGAGGTTTCACTCTGCATCGTCGTCATCATCTCCTTCATTATCCTGCATAGGCTCTTCCTCACCAGCACAGTTCTCAAACTCCCCTGTTTCTGAGTTCCACAGACATTTGATCTGTACCTTGAATTCTGCCATCTCGATGCCAAAGAGTTTCTATGGACAAAAAAAAAAAAAGTACAAATAAGAGCCAATTTGAAAAGTCACTCAAATGCAACACAGCACAATGTGTCACCGGTTAACATTTTTTGTATTCCAACATTTAAGAACTCACCAGAATACGAGCCTGCTCAGGGGTAAGCACGTCTCCCTCCTTACAGACTTCATGGTCCTTCAGCAGTGTCACCACACCTTTCAAAACAAGATGATATAAAATGACTGAATGATGAGGCTGATTTTGCTAGCCAGTGCCTGATAAATCTTATTCCTCTGTGCCATAGACCTTCATTGTTATCTGACAGCAATGCTACATAGTTTGTTGCTGAGTCAATCCCACACACATTTGTCCCCAACAAATGCATTATTTACTACTGTTTGAGTATTGTTTGCAAAATCCTACATTGCTTAGCTGTTTTAAACAAAAAAAAAAATAGTGAGCCTTTTTTTAAAAATGAAACCATACATTTGCGATCTGATGATGCAAATTGAGAAATTGACTAATGCTCTGTTGATTTGGTCTTTGCATGGGATTTGTTGACAATTATTATATACTTAATATTATAATAATATATAATGTCCTTATCCTGCAATCTTACCTTTCTTGAGAGCAGTGGGAAGTCCTAATTGCCTCAACTGGGGCTCCATTGAGTGAGGAAACTGTTCCAGGGGTCCCTCATCCAGAGTTACGTCCATCTGTGCCGGGTTGCCTGCCCGTGCAAAATCCATCTCTTTGAAATGATTGAAATACCTGTAGATAGAAAAACACCATTTTGTCAACTGACTAACAATATTTGGAGAATCATTGCAACAATGGTGCATTAAGTGCAGCCTTACTTACTCTTGTACCTCATCCTTTGTTTTATTTGTGAATAGTACTCCCACTTCTCCTCGCAAATATTTGCTAACCTGCACATTATCAAAAGGCAATAGAAAATGTCACGTCTTTGCAATAGATTACATGTATACACACATGGTTTAACACCAAACGCAAGGTCTCACCTACCTTGTGCAAGTTATCTTTGTATTCGTCCGTTTCTCCTTTACCCAAGGCAACCACCATGACTTTATTTTTGCCAAAGAAGAATCTGTGGCACAGAGAAGAGTCTGGTTAAATTGTTTCCTGTGACATCTGTTAAAGGAGTACTCCAGTGTTTAGTGTTGAACTGTGATAAAGTTAGGGTATCAAAATCAAAGCAGTAGCGGCTGAGATATCTTGATATTAAGTCCGTAATTTGCGTCACTTCAAAAAACACTTGGACACTATTATTCCCTTAAAGCAATTTGATAGCATGTTTTATTAGACCCTCTCTGGCTAGTAAATAGCCACATCTTTCAAACTTGATGCTCAGTTACTAACACAAGCTGTCTTGATATAAATGTGTATAAATGTCTCATACTTTATACAACTGTTACCAGTCAGTACTCCTCATGACGATAAGTTCATTAAAAGGCCCAACAATAAGACGTCTTTACCTGCTGTGTTTCCATGCTGTCCTGATGTCTTTCAGTTTGTTATTCCTCATATTGGCCACAGAGAATATGAACAAGTTTCTGTAGGTGTCCACACATTTCCGTAACTAAAAAGATAAACAGGTGGAGAATTTACTGTGAAATATGTCAACAGCTTCAGCTAACCTTGCTTAGCATTAACGTTACAGCTAATAGCTGAGAAGACACCACTCACCTCCTCTATTAATTTCTGTTTTGACTCCAGTCCTTTCTTGGCTGTTTTCGTTAACGAAACTGATGGAAAGATCATGTGAAAGGTCAATCAGTTAGTTATGAGTTTTAACTGATGTCAGTCACTTGTAACTTAACTGTTGAAGCTCCCCATGTATGTTAAGGAGAAGCTTCCGTTAGCTGTTACCTAATTTACGCTACTTTTCTTTTGTTGCTGAGAGATGCTACATACAAGCAACCAGGGTAAAACGTTTAATCGTTCAATATGTTTGTAAATTTTACAATATGAACATGATTTTTCTTACTTTTCTTGTCCCTCTTTGACTTCGGCATGGTTTCGTCTCACGATGGCAGAGCAGCAGACGCACACGTGAAGTAAAAGGACCCCAAATGTTTCTGTTTGGTGAAGCTGACCATGCGGTGCCTGACTACAAAAACAAAAGAAGGGGAATAATACACTTTTAATTATAATATTTATGACTCATCGGTATTGCTGGTATGCAGATATTTACTGCTGCTTCTAAATAAATATATACATATGTTGAGTCAAGAGTCATACTCACTTTGGCGTTATCTCAAACTAATATTACTCATTAATCGGGCAAAATCATTTAAAACGTAAATAAATGCTCAATAAATAAATAAGCATCCGATTAAATGCACAAAATTTAAAAAATTTAATTAATTAATTATTCACCTTTGTAATAAATACCTTATTTATTTATTGTCGGTTATAATCTTCAACTTTATTTATTAATTACTTCTTTTTAAATTTATTTATTTATGTGTGTGTTTTAATATTTTTGTTTTATTCTTCCGTTGCATTTTCTACCCTTTTTATTTTCCCAATGGTATTAATTTCTGCATTTCTGCCTCATTATGCAAATGAGGAGGGGTTGTGTCTAAAGGGGTGAACTTCTCCCCTATTGGTGGACCAGTCAGACGGGAGCGCTCTAGGCCTACTCTCCCTCCACACATCAACAAGCTTGCTCTTCACACAGTCAGATGGCATATTTCAATGTGCTGAGGTGTTTAGCAACTCTATTTGAAGACAATACTACCAGCCATGTCTTCCTTCCCTTTTCCTGTGGAAGCTCTGACAGACATTTATTATTTATTGAGCATTTATTTATTTCTGTATTTATTTCTGAATTTGTCAGGATCAGTACTCCATACTCCTTAACCTATGTGTGTAATGCACGATGGTGTAATAAAGATGGTCTACTGATTAATATTGGACTAGAGACATGATTAAGTTGCATATGGCGCCATATATGGCACCTATTTTAGTGAATAACATTTTCATCAAGAGCAACATTTTTCATTGTCTTGCGAGCCGTCACACATTTATTTTACACCCTTCTGTAACATGACGAAAATGACGAATGAGGATTATCTGTCTGAAGTAATGAAGGTTATGGACGGATTAACCCGCTAGGGGGACCCTGAGCCAAAACTACAGCAGGCAAGTAGATGTACAGATAGCCCTACACCTAGAACACACAAAAATACAACTTCCCTAAGGATCCATGTAGCCTATTGGTGTATTGTGGGCTTTATTCTACCCAAACATTTTCAGTTGATATTAGAAAGATGCTGTAGACTCACTTAGATACATTGCCATTATTTATGTTCAGGAGTAAGGCATTCCCCCCTTTTGACCTGAGGTAAGTATGGCATGAAGAGCATCATAATGCTTTCTTAGGAAAAAGAGATACAGCACATACACAAAGGTCACCTTTTATCTAGCATCTATGCTTGATATAAAGTAGCCTCCAAGTCCCTACAAAAAGTAGAACAGTATATACAGCCTAGGCTACAAAATGTAGCCTATATGTACTTATAAATATAAAAGTATCTAAAATACAGGCTATAATGTATAAAAATATAGGCCTACATATCAACATCAGAAAAGCTTTATTGTATTACAAAGCAATGGGAATTCATAATTGAAGGAGCTTACCAGTAAAGAGAACACATAGTGAACAACACATATATTTGAATATGCCCTACATTATACAGTCATAGTTTGGAGTAGAATATACTAAGATTAATCATGATGACAATTTACAGCAAACAGACAAACAAAAATCTAAAAACACCAACAACAAAGCTGAACAAACATTAGTAAAAATAAACATAGAAATAGTATCCAATTCATAACAGAAGTTTTCATAATGCATCTTCATAAACAGCAGCTAGGTCTAGGCTGTAGCTCTTTGTAATATTATTTACAGAAACCCAACATTTACCACCAACAGCAAGCACTTAGCGACAATGGCAAGGAAAAACACCCTTTTAGCAGGTAGAAACCTCAAGCAAAACCTAAATTAGATTATGTACAAGTAGGTGAGAAAATAGGTGTACATATATTTAAATACACTGGTATATGCAGTAACCTATACAAAGAAACAATGAACAATAAAGTGTCTATTTAGTAGTCAAGTGTTTCTGTAAATTGTAAATAAATAGTGCAAGAGAATAAATATTAAGTGATAGATTATGACTTGGGTGGTTATAAAGTAGCCTATGCATGTATTACATCTTTATACAGTAGCCTACATACCGCGTGCAGAATTTATGATGACAATGAACAAGTTAAACACTGAATAAAAATGTATCTAAATTAATTGAGAATGCATTGTGGTCTACTTTATCCTATTAATTAGGCTTATGTTTATGCCGTCAGCCAGGATGTCAGTGTGTGAGAGAAAAGGGGGAGGGAACGTGGGAGGGGCTGATGTCGGTGATAGTGCCTAGTTTAGCACTTTGCAACATGATCCGCGAGAGAGGCCGGGCTCTGCGGTCCTCCATCCTGCCGTCCCACCGCACCACATGGAGACTGGATAGAGCCACACAGTAACGGGGAATGACAAAGAAAGAAGGTGGACCATCTTCCTCTGGCTATATGAACCGGCACAGCATCAGCAGCTCCTGACAAAGCAGAGGCAAACACAGAGATGAGGGTGACGGGAAATACTGCTAGTGCTGGTTGCGGTCTGCGTCAAACCTCTCGCCCCTTCAGAAGATAATGCCCCCCGGTGCCTTTTAAAGGACTTTTGGGGGTTGTTATTTGCTCGTGAACACCCATGCTGCAGGGGTCCATGTCAGTATATCGGGGTACACATCCAGTAGGGACAGTGATGGTCAGCCACTCACATCTGCATTGTAAGGAGGGACTCGTCCTGGGGGAGTGGGATTTTTGAAGGAATATGCAGCGATAAGAAGAACGGGTTTTATATCGCCGCATCCCAAACCAGACAGAGCCACAGTTGGATTACCGGGTGTTGTCGTTAACCAACATGAACTCGCTGTTTTTTTCCGAGTCTCCGCCCGGTCAGGTCTGCAACGTCTCCACCGGGTCGGCCCTGCGTAATGACCTGGGCTCCAACATCCATGTGCTGAAAACCCTCAACCTGCGATTCCGCTGCTTCCTTGCCAAAGTCCATGAACTGGAGAGGAGAAACAAACTGCTGGAGAGCCAGCTGCAGCAAGCTCTGCAGAGACCTCACTACCGGCACCTTTACTCCCGTGAAGTGGCCGTGCAGACGGACGGTCCCGAGTCGCGGCTGCCGGGCACCATCTGGAGTTTCACCCACGTCCGGAGACAAGGGGAGCGCTTTGAGACCTTGCGCGGGCCAGGGGTGACGTGGACGCACCCGGACGGAGTTGGGGTCCAAATAGACACCATTACCCCAGAATTGAGGGCTCTGTATAACGTACTGGCCAAAGTCAAGCGGGAGAGGGACGAGTACAGGAAAAAGTGAGTATAAGGCCGGTCAACATGGTGCCGCACTATAGTGTGTCTTTTGATGTCTGTGCTGCTGATGGTTCCTCCAAAAATCTGGCAATTTGGAGCATGTTTGCATAGCTAAATAAAGTAGCATAATCTATTTTACATCCTAATCTCACAATAATAGTAATAATTTGCAAGGGAGTAGCAAGGAATTCAGGGCCCTGAAAGAGTGTTGCTGTGCTGTGATCTCTTGGTTGAGAGATCTGAGTGGTGGTAATCTAGAAGCTGTTTTGATTGCTTCCCATCTAACCAGTCTGACTTTTTTGCTTCCCATGTGTGTGTGCTGACAGTAGCCTATTGTGGAGGGACATCGCAGTGATAGAGTTACACTTGAGGAGGTAGTGTGGCTATTTCATATGAAGGATGTCTGAGACGCTGCTCAGCATTTGTGAATTGAACTGATCCTGTTTTTATCACACGCTTCTGAGGAAATTCCTTTGCACGGCTCAGTCTCCACCAATTGTTTCCCCCCATTAGTCACATTCATTGCGTTTCCTTGAGGACCCGCTGCAGCGTCCCCAGCTGACCCACGTCACTGCTGGCTACTGGAGGGAGGGGTGCCAAGCAACCGCCTGCTTCTGTTTTCAGTCATGATTCAAGCAGAGAGGCATTTTAACGGGCCCCTGTTTTCTCGGTGAGGTCGGCTCTGACGAACGCTGACTTCCCTGCGAGTGCACTGACTCAGTGACACAGAATGCTTGTGCTTTCCCATTCCTTTGGGGAAACTGCAAATGCTGTCCAGTCATTCTCTGTAACACCAGCATATCCTTTTTTGTGCATTTCTGCTTGAGAAGATGAACGGCAGTGACCGGGACGGCAGCCAAATTGAAAACTGCTGCACCGGAAGCCCAAAATTTTGAATATCCTTTGGCAAAAATGCGAGCTCTTGACTTTATAAGTCATTGAAACAGCCATCTCAGTGGCTTTTTAATTAGGGTTTTAGTTAGCAACATATATAAAGCCACTGCACTTTACACATTCACTCATGAAACATCTATTTTCCTCCAAATAGTGGCTGTTGGGTAGTTGGTAAACTGGTTTTCTATATATTTTATTCATTATTTTTTACATAGGTAGGCCAACAGGTATTTTGTGTTATTTAGGTTTGTTTACATTTTTCTTTACTGACACAGGTAAAAGTGTCAAACATGTTCTTTAAATTCTTTCTACATCTAAAGAAGTGAGGAATAAGACATATTTCTAAACTCTTTTTATTGGCCAATTATCAGGGAAATCAATCTCTTTCCCTGCCTCTCACATTCCTCCTCTGCTCTGAGCTCAACAATTGCATCACTGCTGAGTTCACTGCCCAGTTGTTTTCTTTCTGTCTCCCAGTCTAAATCCTCTTTACTACAGTCACGTTTCAGCATCCAATCCCGAGCCCCGTCCTGCCATGCCTTTTCTGTTCAGTGCTTTTTGTGTTCAGCCATTCCTTCGCCCTTCACTCCACCCCGCTACAGCCCCTTCACCCCTCTGCTCCTCTCTGTGTCACGCAGACCGCTTTGTAAGGCATCCTCAGTTCCAACGGAGGCCCCCCCATGTGCTTCCACAGCGCCCTGGTGATTTATTAAAGCTTTACGTGAGTGGATACACACAAGGAGATGGAT